AGGGGGTGGGTGGGTGGGTGTGTTATAAAAGAAGTTAAGCCTACTCTGACTGGGTTGGCATTATGTCCCAAAAGTAATGTAAAATAAATAAAGTCTCTAATACAAGACACTAGAAACCTTTCAAATTCTTGGTCAGTGTAGTCCATGTGATACTTAGAACAATATAGTCTATTAATGCAGCCTATGATGGTGTCTCAAGACTAGAGGGTCTACTCCTATCGCTGACAACACCACACACTTAGAACACAAGCTGGGGATGATTCAAGCTGAATCTGACCTGAAAACGTCTTCCTGTGGTCTCACCTCTGTGGCACCAGAAAACATTACTTGAGCTGCCAAGGGAGGGAATCAATGAAACAGTTTCACCCAGCTACACTACCTATAAACCATGACAATGACTGCGTTGGAAAGATACCTGTAAAGATGCAATAAATAACACTCATATGTTAGTAGTAACCAACAGCTGTCTAACCAGGCTTAAGGCCCACTCAACAGGAAGGAATTCATGCCTGGTACTGAATACCTAGCCAGATTTCTGAGACCAGTGAGGTCAGCTAGATCAGTATAATCCCTTACTACATTCTAAACCTTATCATTATATTCAGAGATAAGTGTAGCTACCACCACCCATTAAAGAATCCTCTCTTAACACAAAGCAGAGACCTTCACAGAAAACTACAACTGGACATAATGCAGAGATCAACAGATTGTGGGGATCTCAGCTTTAACAGATGCATCTGTATCAGACTGCACACATTTATGGTCAGGAAATACTATGGGAAAGGGTGTAAGAACCAGAATACCAGGGAGTCTGCAGTAGAACACTCTTTGCTAGAAATGGCTATATAAAGAAAACCCAGAGAATGGCAATATCAATGGACATATTAATATAAAAGGGAGAAAGTTTGTGACATCCTGCCCTTAAAAAAAGAACTAAAGGCAACTAATGACTTCTGGGAGAAGAAGATTTTATATATATATATATATATATATATATATATATATATATAAATTAGAGTCAGTGGGTTATATTTATATGTGTGTACAGTGTCTGCATACTTTCTCTTCATACATATATGTATATATGAACACATATTCATATACACATATAAATTTATATCAATAATAAATAATAATAAACAACTCACAGAGACTATCAACTTGAGAGTATGGGGATATAGGAGGGGTTGGAGGGTGGAACATGTTATAATTCTATTTCAATTAAAAACTGAGTTTTAAAAGGTACACATTTATCTATCCACAAACATTTATTGAGACTGTATTGTGTTGGACAAAGGAAGGAAACAACCATTCCCTGGTTGTTTCAACAGAACAGTTTATCTACAGGGAAATAGATAAGCAGACAGTTGCAGTATGCCTGGGAAAGAAGTGACAAAACATGCAAAGTATTGACTGGTCTCCTGTGAAGAATGATCAATACTGTTTTTAAGTTAGAAGTCTCCTTATATGTGATTGCAAGCACTTGAACAGAAGTAAAAATAGAGAAAATTGAGTGTCCAGAAAGGGAAAAAGAAGATTCTTGCCTAAAAGCCTGACTGCAAGATAAGTGAACTAAATTAATATGTACAGCTCTCACATAAGGGAGAAAATACCAACTACTTTTACATAGACAGTGGAGTGAGGGAAGTGTCTTCCGTAATTTACACTAGTGTGTATAGAAGATACCATGGAGGAAGCATTAGATTGTGTCTCAGGTTGTAGGTTTGTTTGTTGTTTGTTTTATCATTTAAAAATTACTTGAGTTTATAAAGAATTTCACCTAAAAATCTATGTAGCAATTGACATCAGTTTTCTACTGTTAGTAGTGTTCAATGCAGGAGGGAACCAATTATATCTTTATTACAATACCTGGTATTGCTGATGACAGTTTTAAAAACTTTATTTTTACACAATTTTGTACATGTATCAAGTACATTCTGATCAGTCATCCACCCAACCTCTCAGCCTCCTTCCACTCCTCCCAATATCTGATGCTTATTCTTACCAAGCTTCCACCCCAATATCGCATCTCTTGATTTTGCTTTAGTGTTTTCTTGGTGATTCCATGTTTAACCAGGCCTACTCATGTGAGCATGGATGTTTAGCTGTCTACTGGACCAAGAGTAAGTCACCACCAGCTATATCACTGGAAAAAAATGACTTCCCCTCCTTCAGTGGTTCTTCACTGATGTTACTGTCCTTGGGCCCCTCTTGCATCTATAACAGAATGTTGACTGGCACAATCATGTGCATGCTCTGTTGTGAATTCATGAGAGTCATGACCATGTCATGCTCTTAAAGCAGCATTCCTGGATCTCCTTCCCATCAGCCAGCTTTTTCCATGATGCTCCCTGAGCCTTGGAAAGAGTAATCTGTATGTCCTGTTGAGAACTGACTACTCACCAGTCACCAGTTCTCAGCACTCACTATTAACTCTCTATTAACCACCAATCTCTCAATGAGAAGGTTTCAGTCACTTCCAAGGACAGCACTAGTCTATTGATATAAGCATAAATATTTAGGAAACAGTTTGACAACATATCCATTAAAAAAAGTCTGTAGTTTATTCACAAAGGGTTGACTTTGAGACAAAATGAACTAAATACTTAGAACTTAGGATAGTTATTGAAATTGTTATTGGAGGAGGTATGTGACTTTAACATTTATAGGGCAGAAAAACATTTTTGATGATATTGGCACATAAAAGTTCTAAGCTGTAGATAGGTATATAGAGAGTAAAAAAAAATAAATTTAGACAGCTGAAATTTGCAGGCAAATGGATGGAACTGGAAGAAAGCATCCCGAGTGAGGTAATGCAATCACAGAAATACAAGCAGGGTATTACTCACTCATATATGGATATTATACATAAAACAAAGGATTACCAGCCTACAATCCATACCATTAGAGAAACTATCCCTTGAAGAAGGGAAAGGGGACAAGAACCCCTGAGACAATTGGGACCACAGGGGGTGGGGAGGAAGGAGGTAGGAAGGGGAGAGGGGGAAGGGGAGTGGGGGAGGAGAACAGGAGGACTAAGACAGGGGAGCAATAGAGGAGGACAAGAAAGGAGATGCCTTGATAGAGGGAGACAGTACAGGTTTGGAGAGTGGTCGGGCACAGGGGAAGTGTTAGAGGATCCACATCGATGACCCCAACTAAGAATCTGGGCAGTGGTGGAGAGGCTGCCTTTGATGTTCTTCCCCTATAATGAGATCGATGACTATCTTGGTAGCCATTCCTCGAGTCTTCATCCAGTAGCTGATCGCAGCAGACACAGGCACCCACAGCTAAACACTGAGCCATACTCCTGGAATCCAGTTGCAGAGAGAGAGGAGTAATGAGCAAAGGAGCCAAGAGCTGGAGAAACCCACAGAGACAGTTGACCTGAACTAGTGAGAGCACAAGACCCTAGTGGTAAAGCTTGGACCAAACCAAGCCCTCCGAATGTGGGTGCCAGCCAGA